AAAAGTAGAGAAGCCAGAAAAAGAGAGACTTAAAAAAATAAGCAGTGAAGAACAAATGCAGCAAATAGAAAACAGTAACAAATAAGGCAGATATGAATCCAAAAATATCAATAATCACTTCAAGTGTGAATTATCTAAATATATCAATTAAAAGACAGAGACTGACAGAGTAGACTTTAAAAAAGACCCAACTATATCATGTCTACAAGAAAACCATTTTAAATATAAAGACACAGAGGAATTAAAAGTAAAGGGATTGAGAAAGATACACCTTGCTAATACTAATGAGAACAAATCTAGCGTGGCCTTATTAATTTCAGACAAAGACAACTTCAGGACAAGGAAAAATATCAAGAATGAAGTAAGGAGGATGTTGAGGATTAAAAGGTCGATCCTCCAAGAAGACATAACAATCGTTAACATGCATGCACCTAACAACAGGACATCAAAGTACCTGAAGCAAAAACGGATGGAGCCGCAAGAAGCAGACAGAGACTGTTACAGCTGGAGAGCTCAGCCTGCACATCGGTAACCGACAGGTGCAGCAGGCATAAGATCCGGAAGGACATAGTTGAGCTCATCAGTCAATTCCATCAGTCAACTGGATTTAATTGATACTTGTAGAATACTTCATCCAACAAAATACCCTCTTCTGAAGCTCACATGGAATATGCACCAAGACAGGCCACATCCTAGGTTAAAAAGTCACACCTTAGCAAATAGAAAATTGAAATCATACAAAGTATGCTCTCCAACAACATAAACTTAGAACTAAAAATTAATAACAGAAAGATGGCTGGGAAATCCCAAAATGTCTAGAGGTTAAGCAACATACCTATAAACAATACATGGGTAAAACAGGAGTCTCGAGAGAAATTTTAAAGTATTTTTAAGGAAGAAAAATGAGACTGCACCTTATCAAAATTGGTGGGATTCAGTGAAAGCAGTGCTCAGGGGGAAACGTACGATGGTTTGGCAGTTTAAGACCAAGAACTAAACGTGCAACTACCACAGGATCCTGCCATCGCCCTCAGAGAATTGCAGTTCCAAAAAAAAGATTTCCATCCACACAAAAACCTGTACTCAGGTTTATAGCAGCTTAATGTCGGACACCCACAGACTGGAAACAATGCAGATGTACCTCCACAGGCGGAATGGTTAAACTGTGGTGGATTGTACAGCCATCCCACCCACACCACAGAGTACCACTCAGCAGCGAAACTGGCGCCACGTGCAACAATGGACGAATCTTCAGAGAATTATGCTGAGTGAAAAATAGCTGACCTCCCAAAGTTCCATCCTGTATCATTCCATTTACATAACATTCTTGAAATGACAAAATTGTAGGGTGGAGAACGGATGAGGGGTTGTCAGGGGCTAAGGAGGGGGTGGTGGTGGGAGGGAAGAGGGTGTGATGGGGGGGCATGAGGGATTTTTGTGATGATGGGAATGTTCTGCACCTTAACTGTATCAATGTCAGTACCCTGGTTGTGATAATAGAGGAAAAGAATAAAGGGTACAAGATCTGTCTCTGCATTTCTTTTTATGAAAGATTATATTCTATGTACTTTTAGAGAGAGGGGAAGGGAGGGAGAAAGAGAGGGAGAGGAACATTGATTGGTTGCCTGTGGCACCGGCCCCAACCCGTGACCCGCTGGCAACCCAGGCACGTGCCCTGACCAGGAAGTAGAACCGGGCGACCTTTCGCTTTGCGGAATGATGCCCAACCGACAAAGCCACACTGGTCAGAGATCTGCACAATTTATTACAACTGCACGTGAATCTACAGTTATTTAAAAATTGAAAGTTTAAGAAAAAAATGATAGGGGTGTGGGTTACACGGGTGTAAATTTAATCTAAAATTTTTAAAAAATGATATGGCTCTTACCCATTAATTTACTGCTTTTCAATAAACTAGGGCAAGAGTGATAAGAATTTGAACTAAAATTTTGCATATTGTACCATCCATAATTTCTCATAAATACTTCTTTTGTATGCTCCTTACAGACTTTCTTGAGTCAACTAAGAGTTCAATTCGTATTAAAGTCTTACTACTTTCTAGTCATATACAGTCTTGGCTCCAATTTGAGTAACATTGTTTGAAATATACTCAGGAAGATTCCTTAATAATATATTGAGTAACCCTTCTTTTTTTGCCACTTACATAATTCGATATAATTATGGAACAATGATAATGGCTTATTAGGAGATGGGATGTTTCATAAAGAAACCACTTAATATTATCAAACAAAACTGCATGCTACCACACAAACTTCTATTCAATGCAGTACCGTCATTTCATTTGCTCGGGTATAGCATTTATACATTGTGAAACTTGAAACTATACCTAGTAAGCAAAATAAATGAGAGAACTAAAGATGTTGGCTGAGCCCTGGCTGGTGTGGCTGAGTGGGTTGAGCAACGACCTGCAAATCAAAAGGTTTCTGGTTCAATCTCCAGTCAGGGCACATGCCTGAGGTGCGGGCCAGGTCCCCAGCTGGGCGCACGTGACAAGCAACTGATAGATATTTCTCTCCCTCTTTTACTCCTTCCTTTCCCCTTTCTCTGAAAATAAATAAAATGTTTTAACAAAAAGAATTGCACATTAAAAAAAAAGATGTTGGCTGAATTTTGTAAATGCTCCTTACTCAATGAAAGCTTCATTGAATTACTTAACTAATAATTTAAGTTTCATTATTTCTCAAAACTGAATACAGATTCTTTGCTTAAAAGATATTTCCAAAGCATTTGAGATCTTGCTCCTTGGCATATGTCATCAGCTTGGCTCAAATAAACTCTTACCAAAAAAATGAGCTTTCTATGTAATTATCAGAATCTTTTTTTTAAAGCCCAGGTTCTTCTTCTTTTTCAAAAAATATTTTATTTATTTTTTGAGAGAGGCGAAGGGAGGGAGAAAGAGAGGGAGAGAAACATCAGTGTATGGTTGCTTCTCACATGCCCCCACCTGGGGACCTGGCCCACAACCCAGGCATGTGCCCTGACTGGGAATCCAACCAGTGACCCTTTGGTTCTCAGGTCCGCACTCAATCCACTGAGCTACACCAGCCAGGGCCAGAATATCTTTTTACAATTTTTTATAACCCAGCCAGACAGAATATCTTTTAATTTCAACATGAATGACAACTGGGAATATCAGAATCATAGAATATTAAAACTAGAAGTTCTTAAGAAAAATTTCTGTTCAACTATCTCAATATACACAGAAGGAATCTGAGGCATGGAAAGGTGAAGCAGTCACCCAAGGACACAGTTTCAGTTAATGTGCATTTAATAAATATTTATTTACAGCGCCCCCTACTGAAAAGCCCTGTTAGATTGGCTGGGAACACAGCAGTGAATGAAAAGGGGAAAAAACTACTAACTTCCAGAGTTTATATACTAACGGGGGGAAAAAGGCAAATAAACAGATAAAGTATATAAACCACCAGAGAGACAGGTGGGCTATGAAGGAAAACGAAGCAGAAAGGGGCATGTGTTGCAGAAGGAAACTGCCGTTTTAAACATGAGGTCTGAGGACTTTATCAAATGACATTTGAGCAGCTACACCGGAGGTTAAGGTGAGGGGGGGTCACATGAGTCAAGGATGAGCTTCCTGGGCAGAGACAAGGGTCCACACAAAGGTCTGAGGGAGACTCCTTCTTGGCCTGTTCCAGAAACACCCTGAAGGCTGCAGTGGCTGGCCCAGAGCAGGGAAATGGAGTAGATGTTATCACCGAGTTGAAAATAGATGCATGAAGGGTCTCTCGGCCCTTTGTAAGGACTCAGCTTTTACTCTGTAACAAGTGGGGAGCTGAACAAACGGAGGAAGCTATGAATTAATCCAGGGAGAGATGATAGTTTGGGACCAGGGTGGTAGATACGTTGCTTGTGAGGAATTACATTTCTGAAGGAAGAACCAAGAGAGAGTAAATGGCAGAGCTAGGCCTAGGACCCAGGTTTTAGGTGCTTAAGTTTTCTTTTTCATACACTATGTTGCTGAATTACTTTTTAAAGTTTAAGAGCGCATTCCCAAGAAACAATTTGATTTCTGAGTTGCAGTTAGGGACTAGAGGTAGTTTTTAGTGCACAGTGGAGCACAGCTCACAAGGTCTGGTGACACACTGTCTCTGCTACAAGGATCAGCCTGCCCAGCAGAAGCACAGACACAGACTGTGACGGTTACCTTTGTGGCACCTCGATGGGCCTCGGGGTGCCCAGACTAAACGTTACTTCTGGCTGTGTCTGCGAGGGTGTTTCCAGATGAGACTGGTATTTGAATCGGCTGACTCAGTCAAGTGCTCTCCCCAGTTTGGAGGGCATCACCCAAACCACCTAGGGCCCGAACAGAACCAAAGGTGGAGGAAGGAGGAATTTGCCTTTTTTCCTGCCTGCCTATCTGAGCTGCAATGCCTCATCGCATCTTCTCTGGCCTGCCTGCCCCGGTCCTCAGTCCCTCAGACTCAGGTTGAATTGCACGCCCCCGTCCCCGGTTTTCCTGTCAGTTCTGTTTCTCTGGAGAACACTGCCTACAACATACACAAGACAGGCACCCAAGGGCAGAAGAAAAACAGCTAAATTTTACAACCCAACCACCCATTTTTCATGACCTGCTTACGGGTGTTATTTCATCATCTTTTTCATCTCAGTATACTTTTATTACAATTTCAAAACAACAGAAAGGAAGGCGAGACAATCGCATGGACCGGCTGCCTGCAGACCTGAAACTTGAGCCTGTAGACTGAAATGCCCTTGCAGGAATTTAGACCCTTAACGACCTTTAATGCCAGAGAAGCTGAGTGTCCTTGACCTTATCTCCTAGACCTTTCCCTTCCATTATCATGTCTGCACCCATCTTACTGGGGTCTGTGGCAGTGTCACTAAACAGAAAACAGACACATTTTTTTTTTTTTAGTTCTATTATATGCCTAGCACAGAGGCTCACAGGGTAGGTGGTTAAATATATGCTGCAAGGAGGTTTATTTTAGAATATACATGCTTTATTTTGAAAGAAGATTTATTTTTACAAGAGACAAGAAAAGATATATACAAATAATTACATAAGAACTATAGGAATTGCCTCTGTACTCCACCGCCAGCGGGTTCAGAAGCCCACACGGGCCTCAGGTGATGACGTACCGCGTGAGGCCGCCCCCGCGGACCTCTGACAGCCGCCGGCAGTGCCGCAGGATGTTCAGTATCACGTGGAACCGCTTGTCCACTTTCAAGGCTGTGAACTCCTTCACGTCGGCTTCCACTATAAAATAATGCCCTGCAAGTAAAGATATCAGCGCTCATTTTTTCGGGTGATTTCAATTTTTTTATTGATTTCCGATCTGATCTCGTTGCCTCATTGTTGCTTTCACCTCCTGTGGCTAGGGTCGCGGGCATACTAGGAACTGTAGAACTGCCCACCATGCCATTTTCTCGTTCTCTTGTGCTTTCTTTGTTAGCATTATTGTCAATAGTGCTAATTTCTATAAGGACAACTTTCGAGATGAGTCTTTAATGCATTACACAGTGACTATGAATGGCATTAATCATTTTTACTGTCATTATCCAGCCAAAGTAAGAAATTGTATTCTTACTAAAATATCAATAACTTTTCCTCCAGCTGAAGTTGCATAATGTTTACCGCAACATTTCAGTAATGTAGCCCTGCTTATATTATATCACTAGCTATCTGCTGGTATCTTTTGAATAATTCGCTTTTCAAGAGTTAATATGGGGTAGTGAACAACAGAATGAAACCCTCAGCATATTTACCGCTTCACTGGCTGACCCTGGACAAGTAATATAAGCTCTCTCTGCACAGTCTGCAAAATGGGGTTAGTGACAGGCTGTACCTCCCAAGGATGTTGGGAGGACTACAGCTCTTAGTACACCACCTGGCACACAGTCAGTGCTACATGAGAATGACCAACTGTTATCGTTACATTCTAATCCTGGAAACACTGGTTATAGTTCCATGATAACACCCAGCCTCGGCACCACAGACGTTGTGGGTTGGATCATTCTTTTCTGTGGGCGCTGTCTTGTGCGTCGTTGGGTACTTTAGCAGCATCCTTGGTCTCTAGGCACTGGATGCCAACCCAGCCCCAGCTGTAACAACTGAAAATGTCTCCAAAGATGGCCAAATGTTCCCTGGTGGGGAAATCATCCCGGGTCGAGAGCTGCTGCTCTAAATTTAGAACTTTCTAGAATTACTTTTGTTTCTTCTGATTTATTTACACTCCAAGCAGCTGACACACACACACACACACACACACGCTATTGTTTACCTTTGGTATCCTTTGTTTCTTCATCAAGGAATCTGTGGTAGAGATTTCTGGCCACAGAACTCATAGTGGACTTTTTTGGTTGATGTAGGATCTTATATTTACTAACTACTGCCTTGTTGATTTCTTTAATAACATCATTAATTTGACAATAGGTTAAGCGGGATTTCATGTACCTGTAAATAAGTATATGATTAATGTTTTTGAGAACTCATTATACAAAACATTTTCATTGAAAAGCATTTATGATGACTTCAAACAGTAACAAAGCTATTAGTACTCCTTATACAAAATGTTAAATCAACTTTCCAATAAACCAGACATGTTTCAACAGCTAAAACTTACATAGAGATCACAACATATTAGTGCTTATCTCCCCTAGTTATATCTGGATGCACCAATCTCTGTTCCCCACCTGCAGAATGAATGACCTGATTAAGCCAGATGTTTATTTGAACATTTTTATGTTTTGTCCCCTTGCAAGCAAGGGAACAAAAAATTGAAATGTTAGCAAATTATATAACTTATACCACTCTAGTTTTCTGCAAAAACTTGTGTGTCCAGAGAGAGCAAGGACAAAGGAGAAGAGGAAGGCAAGGGATAGCAGAAGGCCACGGCAAAGATGACGATGCCGGTGCAGACACAGACGGGCCGACAGTGCAGGGAGGGCTCTGCGGTGGAGCTGCCAGGGCAGAGCGCCAGCGCGGGCCCCGCTCTTTTCCGTCCCCTGGCTCAAGTTCCCTTCGAGTGCTGGCCCTTCACTCTACTCCACCCGCTCTCTTCAACCCGGATCCTCTCCCGGTCACCCCAGTGTACAAAAACAGGCCACTCTCTATTTTGAGTGGTTTGTACACGCCAAAAGCAAATCTTAATGATCCGCCTCTATTTTCCCCTTCAACAAACTCTAAATTCCGTATGTTAAACTCTGTCCTTCACCCCTATTCAAAGGGGAAGTTTTCTAAACAAAACTTCCTTAATGTAACATAATATAGAAATATGTTTAAAGACAAATGTTCACATTGCCCAAAAGCATTCATTTTGACTGTTCCCTTCTTTTCTAAGTTCATTTTTGCGGTTATTTTTTCTAACCACAATTTCCACAAAGTGTCGATACCACAGCTCTCCACAGCACAGTTCTGTTAAAGCTTCCTCACTGTAGCACCTTCACTTCCTCGACACCCTTTCCCTGCCTCTGCCAATACTGTCCACTGTATTTCCACCCTCAGCATTAACTTTTCTTTAATAAATAAAGAAAACACCCATGTTTGGAATACATTCTTCCTTATCCTAATCTTCAAATTTCCTTTATTTCCTAAATAATGACGTAGTTTAAAAACTCACACTCTAGCCCTGGCTAGGTGGCTCCGTTGGTTGGAGCATCATCCTCAGCACCAAAAGGCTGTGGTTCGATCCCCGGTCAGGTGCACGCAGGAGGCAACCGATCAATGTCTTTCTCTCTCAAATCAATGAGTATATCCTCCAGTGAGGATTAAAAAAAAATTAACACTCTACCATGACTATTTAACTTCCTTATTTTATCTCTTCATGACAGCATTTTCTAAATAAAAACCCTTCTGCCCCAGAGTTCCTCACTAGCATGTGCTCTTCCCCGTAGTTCGGCCAATGAACAATAACAATTTAAAAAACGGAATAGCATCAAACAGAATCTCCATGCAAATAAAGCTGTCAATAAAGGAAAAGACTGACTGACCCCCTAAGAACAGATTAAAGAGAAATGTCAGCCTCCCTACTAGTCCCAGAATTATCAAACAGCCAGGTGTTTTTTGAGTGGCTAATAAGCACGTGAAAAGATGTTCAACATCATTTGTCGTCATGAAACTGAAAATTACGCAATATCACTACGCACCTATTAGAAAAGAGAAAAAAATGACATAGCACCAGTGAGAATGGGAACAACGAGAACTCTCATTCATTGCTCGTGGGAATGCAAGATGGCACAGTAACTTCAGAAGACAGTTTGACAGCTTCTTACAAAGCCGAAGACACTCCTACCACAGGACCTAGCAACCTCACTCTTAAGTATTTGCCCAAATGAGTTGCCAATGTATGCCCACACAAAAACCTGCATGTGGATGTTCATAGAAGCTTTGTTCATAATTGCTCCAAACTGGAAGTAACCAAGGTGTCCTTCAGTAGGTGAATGGATGAACAAACTGTGGTACATCCAGACAATGGATATTAGTGATAAAAAGAAATGAACAACCAACCCATACAAAGACACAGGGGTCAAACACATGGTGGCAGAAGACTTGACTCTGGGTAGCAAGCACACAATGCAGTGCACAGATGATGTATCATAGCACTGTACACTTGAAACCCATATAATCTTATTAACCGATGTCACCCCAATAAATTTAATTTTTAAAATTTCTTAAGGTTGGGGAGGAGGTTTTCAGCATAGTAAAATGATTTTATATCCTTAAGTAAAATGTGCTCTCAAATTGTGTTTGTACCTATGGAAATCGAAAAATTAGACCATTTATTTTTTTCTTAGTTGTAATGGCCACAGGGAGATTCAACTAAAAGTTAAAACAAAAAAGACATGGGGGGAGTCTTAGATTCATATTACCAAGTAAAAGAAAAAGAAGCTGCCCTGGCTGGCATGGCTCAGTGGATTGAGCGCGGGCTTCAAACCAAAGCATCGCAGGTTCGATTCCCAGTCAGGGCACATGCCTGGGTTGCAGGCCACATCCCCAGTGGGGGCCACGTGAGAGGCAGCATTGATGCCTCTGATGTTTCTCTCTCTCTCTCTTAAAAAAAAAAAAAACAAAACAAAAAAAAACACATTGATGTTTCTCTCTCTCTTAAAAAAAAAAAGAAAAAAAAAGGAAAAAGAAGCCAATCGGAAAGGCTACACAGTGCGTGATTCCACCCATAGGACACCTGGAAGCCGCAGAGCCGTGGAGACAGAGAACAGGCTAGCGGCTGGTTGCCTGGACCTCCAGCAGAGAGATGCTCGGGTGAAGCACAGGGCACTTCGGGCCAGGGGAACTACTCTGTGTGACACTGGGATGGTGGACGCATGTCACTATGCATTTGTCAAAACCCACAGAAGGTACGACAGCAAGGGCGAATTCTACTGAGAACTGTGTGCTTTAGTTAGCGATGTGCCCGTATGGTTTATCGATTCTAGCAGATGTACCAGTGACGCCAGATGTCAGTAACAGGGGAAACTGTCTTCGGGTCTGAGAACACTCTGTGCTATCTGCTGAATTTTTGTGTAAACCTAAGACTGTTCTAACAAAGTTCATTAATTAAAAAACACCAACAAAAACTGGTATAGACAACTTCCAGGAAAGGAACATCATCACGCCCCTTGTCCCAGGGATTTTCCTCCCAGAACTCTCTATCTCAAGAAATGAAGAATTACAAAACAGACTTGCCTCAAAGAAATTTCACCGTACCATTATTTCTAAGAATGAAATCAACCCAAATATTTAATAAGGGAATGCTTAAATAACATACAGGGTAGCCACATGAGAAAATATTACACAACTATTAAAATCCAAGTTTACAGTAATAGTTGATGATAGGAAAATGCTCAAAAAGTAAGAATATTGTATTTACAGTATAATTACACTGTCGTAATAACCAGCAACAACCAATTATGTATATGAAATTAAATAAAATCTAGAAGGAAATATTCCACCTTACCTGAGAGGCAGAATTACAGATGCAGTATTTTCTGACAACAAGCATTTTCTAACACGTATTATAAAGAAGTAATAAACAACCATAACATAAAGCCGAGAGGTGACGCAAAGCCCTGGCATTAGAGAGTTTACAGACACGGATTTCCACCCTCGGTTCCCTACTGCTGCCATCCGTGAAGAGCAAAAGAGACCCACCTCCAGGGGGCGAGTTTTCTGTCATCTAACCCCTGCGTTCTCCTCAGGGACCCGGGCCCAGGGTAGAGCACAGACTCCAACCAGTGTGTGGTAGAAGCTAAGGGACAGATGTGTTAACACACACTCCCACAGCACCCTCCATTCTAATCTCACATCCACACAACACACTTTCTTTGCAATCACAGCAAAACTGAGGCTACTCAAGTGTAACGGGAGAAATCTAGCACAAGATGGTCCTGGACAGGACAAAGCAATAAACCGGTCCAGCTCTGTATCCATCTCTCCATGAAAAGAGGCCTCACTACTCAATAAAACACACGACTTGAAGCACCTTCAACAGAAGATTTCCTGCGTTTTCACAGCACAGTGGAAAACTATTGTAGAAAAGACTGACAATTGAACATTAGCATATTCTGAATATAATCAAGCTCTGTGATTTAAACAATCATGTATGTCACTTATTAACGAGCTGAATGTTAAAAGTACTTACGCAGGAATGCCATTAAACTCCTCAGAAGTTATAAAGGGCATTTCTTTAATGTTTCTTTGCTCTTTAGGGGGCTTCTTCTTTGTGGCCCCAGGCTCCTCACCTTTGACAGGTTCCTCACCTTTGACAGGCTCTTCAGGGTCGAGATCTGACACAGCGGCACTACAGAACAGAGCCGCACAGATGTACAGGTAATCGTCAGAACTGTGCAGCACGCCAGAAAGTTTTTTCAGTGGAAAATCATCAATATCAAACACATGATTTGTCTCATTATAATAATTTCATAGCCAACATTTTTCTTTTTTTTAATTATTTTTTTAATCATTGTTCAAATAGTTTTCTCCTTTTTACTCCCAATCCAGTCCCCCCTCCCACCCTCCCCACTTCCCTCCCATTCCCACCCTCCCCTTAGACTATGACCATGTGTCCTTTAAGTTTGTTCCTGTGAACCCTTCCCACTGTCCCCTTAAATTCCCTCTTCTCTCCCCTCCGGTCACCATCAGCCTGTCCTCTATTTCAGTGTCTTTGGTTATATTTTGCTTGTTTCTTTGTTTTGTTATTTAGGTTCCTGTTAAAGGTGAGATCATATGATATTTGTCTTTCACTGCCTGGCTTGTTTCACTTAGCATAATGTTTTCCAGCTCCATCCACGCTGTCACAAAGGGTAGGAGCTCCTTCTTTCTTTCTGCTGCATAGAATTCCATTGTGTAAATGTACCATAGTTTTTTGATCCACTCATTTACTGATGGGCATCTTGGTTGCTTCCAGCATCTAGCTATTAGCCAACATTTTTCTATCGCTACCCCTATTGTTCATGAAGATCTGAATAGTGAGAACACTGAAAAACTAGGTCCCCAAAACTTCAGTAATGTAATTGTATTTGCATACCCCAAAATGGAACCCATGGCACATATGCTAAACGTCTTCACCTGTTACCCCACTGGCCCCTCAAAGTCACTATGGGTGAAGTCTTATACTTCCTTTTTCTCATGTATCCCATTGGTTGCTGGCCTCAGTCTTTCTCTGCTGCGGAGTCATTTGCGTTGCCAGCAAGGAGCACGGGTCACCCTTCATTCAGTCCTGCCCAATGTTTGGAGTCAATGAGAAAGCTAATTCAGCTCCTACCCCACTAGCAAAGAAGTCTAGGAACAGACTAGCTTCCGGGTTAACTTCCTGGGGAGGAAAGGACCCCTGTTGCCAGTAGCAAATCAAGCCATACCAGCTCTACTGTTCCACGAAAGAAATGGGATGCGGGAAGGGCAGATCCAACCCAGGAGCCAGTGAGCTGCAAGGAAGACGGGGAGGCAAGATCGCGAGAGGACAGCTGAGCGCCAGGCACCGAGGGCAGGCGGGCCTGACCGAGGAGGTGGCCATGCTGGGGGCTGTCAGGATGAGGATGCCTAGTGCTATGGTACCATCGCCCTTGCATGAACCCTGACGTGAGACTCCACTGTGAGCCTGACTGGTACTTGCTGGTCTTGCCCGTGTGCTAAGGACACTCCTGATTCTCCTTCATGCCCTGCTGTGTGTATCAGCTGAAAAAATCACTTCAACCTACAATTAAGGCTCTGCTTTGACCCAACCCTGAAAACCAGAACCAAGCTATAGTGACGTTAGAAGAAAATTCCTCTACCCCAGGCCATATTCCTGCCACATGTCCACTGTCCAGCCCACACTATCTATCACCTTGGCAGATACCGTGTAATGACCTCGGTTTCTAGCATTCATTCATGATCTTGCCCACTAGTTTTCTCTTCTTGCAGGGAAACCCCAAGGTACCCAGGGACTCTGTCGAGCTGACTTCTGGAGGCCTTCAACTATCAGCAGTGATCTGGCTCTCTTCCTGCACAGCAGGGTTCGTGCCTTCCTCTCAGTTTTAAAAATTTAAGCAGTATTTTACTTATGGAAATGCATGCAAAAGTGTGATTACCATAAATGCCAGATAATTACTTCTGACAGAAGGAAGGTCTGCAACAGAAGTATTTCAAGTACTGGTAGTGTCTTATTTCTTAATCTGACTGGTAGATACACTGATGTTTATTATTATTTGATTTGCACAAATAATACTTTAATCCCTTTCTATATATATGATATACAGGGTCTGGCAGAAGTAATGCCTGCTTGAGTATGGTTGGTAGAGTAATAATGTGTGTGTAGTAATTTATAGTTTTATTTTGAACATTTTACCTAAAATGTCATACGGTGTGTTTGAGTATGATATTGTTATGTTTCAGAATTGCATGCTTATGATTTTGTAATAAAAAAGGGGCATTGTGCTGGACCCTGTATTTTAAAAATTAAAAAAGTTTAGGTTAGTCATGGAATGTTTTTACATATTTGAAGCCCCCTTTTAGAAATATAATTTTGGGGTCAAAGCACTGAGAGATGAGAGTAGAGAAATACTAGAAAGACAAATCACAGGAACTCCCAAATCACGAAGACCAAAGATGACAGAAGCGCTCATTCGGAGCCAGGGGGTGAGACCAGAAGGGAGGGAAGGGACAGACAAAACCCCGAGGAGGCAGACCCGACAGCTGATGGTCATAGTGATTCGGGCTGAAGATGCCACCCTCCTGTCTGCGTGACGGGAGGGTCACAGCAACAGGCACAGATGTAACAGGGTAACAGGGAACCAGCAAGTTCAGTCTCAGACACGCAAAGTTGGAGAGAGCAGCACATTCATCGGACCGCCAGCGAAACAGCAGAACTAGATGTCAAGTCAAGGCTAAAGCTGGACATTTGCGAGCATCAACAGTGGCAATGGGTAAGAGTGAGTAAAACAGCTTTAGGAGATACTTGTCACTTAAAGGAGGTGTGAGGCAAAGGAGGCAGCCAAGTCAGAGATGTGAGGTGTCAACTAAGAAACCACAGCAGTGGTACAGGCAACAGAATTTCAAAAACCAAGAAGGTGGACAACAAAATGCAACCTGAAAAGAAGAATCAGGGCCGAAGAGCGATTCCTGACGTCTTTATAACCTGCGACAATCAGTTTCCTGAGTGTGGGGGGTAATGACAGCCCCAGGCCGGGTTTCAGCTGCTCTGGGGAAGGTACAGACATGTGCCGGCTGACCAGACAGAGGCAGGGCAGGCATCTGAGGCAGAAGCAGAGCTGAGGTTTTTTGTTGTTGTTCCTTTGGCTGTTTTTATTTGTCTTTTTTAAAGGATACTTTTTTTAAAAAGATTTTATTTTCAGAGAAAGGGGGAGGGTGGGAGAAAGAGAGGGAGAGAACGTCGATCGGTTGCCTCTCTCATGCCCCGCACTGGGGACCTGGCCCACAACCCTGGCATGTGCCCTGGCCAGGAATCAAACCAGTGACCTTTCGGTTTGCAAATCGGTGACCTTTCAGTTTGCAGGCCAGCACTCAATGAATGCACTGAGCCACACCAGCCAGGGCGCTTCAGCTGTTTTTAAAATGGAAGCTCATTAAGGTTATTTTTACCCTAAGGCCGTGGTTCTCGAGGTCAGGGGAGCTTTGTTCCCCCAGCGGATATGGCCATGTTTGCAGACATTTTCACTGGGTGGAGGTGGGGGTGCAGGGGATCCAGGGTGCTACTGATATCTAGTTGGCAGAGAGATGTAACTAAACACCCTATTATCACAACAAAGAATTATCTGGCCCAAAATGACAAACTCTGCTCTAAGGGAAGGAAATTTGGGAAAAGCAGAGAAAGAGGCCCTAGAGGAGACTCACCCTTGGGAAAGAGGGGCATCACTTTTCTCAGAGAGAGCAGGATAAGAAAACTGGCAAAGGCAAGGGAAATATTATTTCTGGTGTAAGTAACAAAACAAACGAACAAACAAAAAGCCCAGACAATCACAAACAAAATTGCAGATACGGGGAAAAAGCAAAAAGATCTGAGGTGTTTGTTTTAATAGTTTTATAAACCCAGATGGCAAGAATAACTATAAATACACTTACGAGTTCTGAGTTACTGTTACTTGAGGCAAATGGGGAGGAATGTTCTCTTTGAGATGTTCCACATCTTTATAATCTTCTTCGAGAGAGGCACAGAGTTCCTAAAATTGAAGAAATGCTCACAAATAAGCATCCGTCCTGCCAGGGTGCGCACTAAGATGTCACAAACAGTGTGAAAGGTCCAGACACACAATCACAGTAATCCCAAGTGTTCAGGACTCGGAAGGGGTGAAAAAACACTGAATGCAGCAAATTTTAAAGAGCCCCTTGGATCCTAGAGCTGTTTTTGGATGGCGATATAATATTTTTCTCTACAGATTTTTAAAAAGACTTTATTTATTTATCCTGAGAGAGAGGAACAGAGAGAGAAAGAGAAACACTAACATGAGAAACATCGATCAGTTGTCTCTTGAATGCACCCCAACCGGGACCGAACCCGCAACCCAGGCATGTGCCCTAACTGGGAATCAAATCAGTGACCTTTTGAGGACACGTGCCAGGTCAGGACTCTATAAATTTTTTTTAAAGAACAACTGTTATAATCACATTACAAGAGGCAGGTTGGTGTTTCTAAACTACTCTAACCTTGAGAAGCAACTAGAAAAGCATGAAGGATGTATGCTTGCCATTCTGGTCAATCGCCTTTGTCGACTTAGTAAAGGTTCCCAGAGTTATTTATCTGGGCGACAGCTCCAGGGTAATCATGCGCCCCTGGAACTCGAGGACAAGAGGCCACTTGGAACGGCTTCCATTGCTGACATGCTCATACTCCAGCTTGACGAAAACTTCTGTGATTATAACAGCTTGTTCTGGTTTTCAGTTGTTTTTGTGTAACTGTCACCAGAGCCTGAGGCAATAAACTCATGCAAATTTAACAGGAAAAATATTCTGCGACTTTGGGTTCCTGCCTTCTGATATTCAATCACATTGTTAGCAAAATTTCCAGGCAGCTCTCAGTTCTGAGTTGAACATTCTCTGGGCCCACACCTAACCCTGAGCATTTTGGGGCAGGTTAGCACTGAAAGCAACACGGGTTTCTGTTTTAAATTTATAGGACATCTTTGTTTTAAAGATCTCAATGATGTCATAGATACTAATTTTATCTCAACTAGTAGTAAGATGGGCATAATCATGTCCACTCCTACAGCTGAAAAATCTTTACAGACCTTGAGGATCACAAGGTAGAAACGGACTGCAGAGGCGCTTTGTCCAATCCCATTGAACATGGCCATGGCTCTAAGAGGACAAGGTCGTTATGGTCCAGAATGAGTCTTTTACCATCAGGAAGTACACAAGCACCTTATTAGCTGAAGTCACTTAGGCTCATTGAGGACAAAATGTGCGTGTGAATATGGCTCAAGGTTCTCTTTATTTGAGAACCCTCACATGACATGTTACAGGGATTTGGAGATGCACAGCAGAAGGGTCTTAAGAAATAGTTCTTAACTATTTTCCATACAGTTAAATATGGAAAATGACCCATTATTTTCCAAAGGAGGACCCAGAGACCCCCAGAGGTAAAACGGCTTTCTCGGGGTGACAGAGGGGGCTCCGGGCAGCCAGGGTGAGCACCCACATCTCATCCCGGGGCAGATACTCCTTCCACACCAGCCTCCTGGGACATCATGGGTTTAAATCAAACCTATCAAGAATTATCTAGGAAATCTTCCTTTTTAGTCAAGTTCAATTCCATTGGCTACTAGCATGTAAAAAGGAATACAAGTGGAGTTCTGGAGTCCTTTATACTGGGAAAATAAAATGCAAATACACGCTCTACAATTAATAATAATTTACAAAGCTAAGAACATTATAAACTTACAGAACCCTTAAGAATTCCTGGTGATTAGAAAATTTGTATGTATTACCTTTTTATTTTGTTGCTTCACTCAGAAAACATTACCTTAAGTGTATTAGTAGTTTGTTCTTGATACTGAATTTCCAATTCCAATTTATTTAGAAGTTCATTTACTACCACGATCTCATCTCCGATTTTATTTAAGATAGTGTTCAAGGTGGGTTCTTGACCTTTTAAATAAAGATAAAAAGGAAAATAAAGTGTATACAACACCAGTAACGTATATATACCCAACAAAACTTTTGGAACAGAGCTTTACCTTAGAGAGACATTTGGAAGCAGAGAAAGAGCTACTGTTTCAGGCCCCAGGACCTGTCTGCATGGGTAAGCTTAGGACCTCATTTCTCAGTATCAGTATGGAAGAGAAGGGAGAGGCAAGTACAAATGTCTCCCAAGTCTTTTGTTTCTGGCAAACACCTCCACTATTAAAAAGAAACCCCTATAAATGCAAGATAAAATAAACACCCTCTACATACACAACCAAGCTTTCGTGAGAATAAGGTGAATGCCCAAGGGCTGCAACCGGAAGGGAGAACCACAACCCAGGCAGTGCATGAGATGATATGGCAGCAGCCCTAACCTGGGGGGAGAAGAGTAAAGCCAGAGAGCTTGACAGTCTCAGCTAATGTATTTGGGGTTTTTTTAAAAGACATTATTTATTTATTTTAGAGAAGGGAAGGGATGGAGAAAGAGAGGGAGGGAAACATCAATTGGCTGCCTCTTGCAAACCCCCAACGGGGGATCTGTCCTGCAACCCAGGCATGTGCCCTGACGGGGAACTGAACCAGAAACCTTTCGGTTTGCAGGATGAAACCCAACCCACTGAGCTACACCAGTCACAGCAAATAATATATTTGGTTTCAATGGGGACCAAGCCCACGTTTTGGAACTTCAAAGCACAGGGTGCTGGAAGTGAGAATCCCAGATGAAGCTAGGACCCCTCTGCATGGGGTATATCTGCAGTGAAAGCATAAAGCTAAAAAATTCTGATCACTGGCTAGGGAGATAGAAGCTTATGTTCTAGCCTGGCCCTTAGGTGTCTGTGGAAGGTTAGGGAGAGTACCACTTCAGAATTTGTAGGTGAGGTCTGGGATTCACATTTACGCTGTCCACATGATTAATGATCCCTAAGTGAAGAAAATAACAGAAAAAGTCACACGCCATTGGTAGCCCTAGAGTGCCAGACAGGAACAAACACTTTATAAAGTAGCATGCTCACTTACTCCCAACCCCAACTCCCTAGCTTCATAGATTTGAGGATGGGAAAACTGAAGTTTCCTCCTCTCTAGAAATAAAAAAAAGTAACAAAAAAAATTTTTTTAAGGGCAGATCTGAAGCACAAAAGAAAAACTGGCCTCATAATCAAATCTTTCCATCTTTACTTCTAGCAACCAAACAAATATGCATGAAGTAGCCCTGGCTGATGTGAGTCAGTGGATTGGGCGCCGCCGGTCTGTGAACCAGAAGGGTGCTGGTTCGATTCCCGGTCAGGACACAAGCCTGGGTTGTGGGCCAGGTGATGTTTCTCTCCCTCTCTTTCACCCTTCCTTCCCCTTTCTAAAAAAAAATAAATAAATTTTTAAAATCTTAAAAAAAAGTAAACCATGAACCATCAATTTGTGAAATATAAAAAAAATGCATAAGAGCACAGTTTTTATATCTATAAATTATGGAGATGGAATGAAATGGCTAGAAGCTCCAGGCCTAAATTCAGAAACATTAGTACCTACTTCGAGATTCCTGCAAAGGTAAGTGAGAAAGTACCTATAACACCGGCTTAGCATTGTGTCTGGAACCTGGTGAAACACTCAGTAAAAGCTAACTACTATTCCTCACCATCGTGAGAAGCAATATATTATTCTACCTAATGGAGCAGTGCTAATTGCATTTGACACTAAGTTCATAACAACAAAATCAAATTACGAAGTAAATGAGAGTATTGATGTCTTTACTGAGATTAATTTCAGGGGGTTAAATAACTAGTTGGATACATTCGTATTTTAAATAACTTTTAGTCACTTAAATTTTAGGGCCTTGTTTACTGATCTGTAGTAATGTTAAGAGCTGAGCAAATTCACGACTTTGGATAGTAGTGATCTAACAAATCACAGCAGCCAAAGTGGCAAACAAATCACTGGGTTTTATTATATGGGCTTTAGAAGCAAGCAAATTATTCTCCCCACACACAAAAGACGGTTACCCAGTGTGTTTGTGGAATCTACTAGGTTAGACTGCTTTGGCCACTCCCCATGCTTCGGTGGGGTCAGCTGAATGTAAGGTCTGATAGTTTTATAGGTCTCCAAATTATATCTTTTTACCCAATAGTAATCATGCCCTCTGAAAGAGAACGTTGTTTAGAATTAGTCTAAACAAGACTACTAAACATCTAAATATCCTTTTAAGATTTCTCCATAAAAGTGGCACAGAAGTAGAAAGAGAGCTAGACTGGGAATCAGGACACAGAAACTATAGTCCCAAATGATTATTCATGAGCTGGAGGACCTGGCAAGTCACCTGACCTCTGCGTCTCCATTGCCTCTGTGAAATGGGAGGGCTGGAGATGAACCCACAGCACTTTCAGCTTTAACTTTCTACAGCGGATGTTAACCACAAACCAGAAAATAGATGAGGCTCCTTGATTAGAGGTTCTCAACAAGAGATGGAAAATACCAAAGTGCCTAGGACATGTATAATTTGAAAGGGCATTCCAACATTATAATTTCATATTTTAATTTTTGAAAAATTATCAATTCATACCACAAGCTACAGGCAAGGTCAACACAATCTTCTCGGCAGATAGAATCCTGGCTATTGATAAATCTTCAGCTCTCCTAGGTAGGCTTGGGAGCACATCATTTTTGTAAACACCATTCTCCCAGGCTTGACAAGGGTCACTTATTTCTTTGCACCTAGGGTGCATCATCCCCTTTCAGCCCATCAAAATATTTTAGGAGATGGTTGCAACCTACAAGTTTCTGGCTATTTTAAAAAATGGATTTCATTTTCAATTAGTTGTTTCCTGGTGATATATAGTGATAAGCATCCTCTAAAGCAGGCTATCAGATGGGTTATGGGCTATTTGCTTCTTCTGCCCTAAGTCTTTCCCACTTCTATTTTTATTCCTTACCTTTAAGTATTTCCATTTAGCTCTAGAACCACAAATGCCAAATGACCTTCGAACCTTACTATTGTGCCTTGTATATCTCAGAAAAACATAATAAATCTAATTACCACCCAGTATCCTCTGCAATATTCAAAATATGGATGCCACAGTGCTTTTAAGTCACCATCTGAAACCTAAAATTACCTTTGCAAGATACATTCACTTAGCCAGGCATAAGATATCAAAGTGGAACAATAATCAAAATGCATTTTGTTTGTACAGTCAGTGGAATTTATTCTACTTACCACAGTTCCTTAGTGACAGACATGTTTTAATATTGCTAATCTTTTCATTAATATAAGAGCATATTTGTTCCAGCTCTGAAGAGGCCATCCTTTAAGCCTCTGAAAAAATATATATATAAACACAATTTCCAAAAACAAAAACCAAATTTCTGTTCACTTTCAAAATCCAAGAATGGTTAATATCCAGATCACATACCCTTGAAAAGAAAGTACAAAAAGTCAAGAACAATTTCTTTCAAATCTACAAAACTCGGTTTCTAACCAAAACCCAATATTGACATGGCTATTAGAGCCTTTTGTAGTCAATGCATCCCAAACCATGACACAGGGAATAAGCCTGCATCATCTCTTTAAGAACTTGGGGGGAGGGCAAATACACTATGAATAAAAACAACTTTGGCATTTTCCTTAAACACGCAAAATACATCTGAATTTTAAGGGGGGAAAAAAACAGCAAGCGGAAAGAAACGAGTGCAGGCAAGCGTTTCTCCACGCCGTGGGGGAGTGTTTGGGGGCGGTGAAGAGGCGGAGGAAAGCAATCAGTTACTGTGCACTCCGAAGGTAGCTGAGAATGTCTCCAGCGCCCACTCTAATCTAGGGAGCGGAGGACGGAGGAGCCCTGCTCCCTTGCCTGGCGCGATCCCGCATCCCACACCCCGCTCAAGCAATGCCTTTTGCCTGCTTCCTATACCAGGATCCCAAACTTCGCGCGGGTCTGGAGTCAAGGATCCATTCCGGACCGAGGGGCCCCAGCCACTCACTCTCGGGCTCAGCCGGAAGCCAGGGATCGCGCGAGAAATTCAAATTGCCCGCCGGAACCTGGCGCCGCGCAGGCGCGTTTCGGCGCTCGTAGTGCCGGCTCAGCGCCGCCAAAGGTTTCAGCCGGCCACTGCTGGGCTTTGGGCCCCAGCAAGGTTGAGGCGGCGGGAAAGGCGGAACTTGGTAAGGCGGGAGCCTTAGCATTTTTGAAAACACCCCAGATGGTTCCAAAAAGCAGCCACGTCTGTGAGCTGAAAGACCTATCTTGATGGAGTTTACAGCCTCTGTAATGGCAAATGCAGATTTACATTAAGAAAAAGTTTAGCTCTGGCCAGTGTGGCACAGTTGGTTGGGCGCAGTCCCGACCGAAAGGTCGCCGGTGCATTCCTGTGTGTTGGTTCCATTCTCGGGCGCTCACTTCCCCATGGCAACCTCCGGTACCTCCAGACTTAGACTCTCACAGGTTAGCAGTTCTTTCCGGGGGGATATAGCAAAAACCCCAGGGTTGCATCTCATTGGCCCAAGTTGGGCCACGCCCAAGTCAGTCAGTTTAGAGGGGTGGAATGGTCTTGGAGCTGGTGGCCAGGTCAGCTCTACCCAAAATAGCGGGGCTCAGACTGAAGCAGAGGTGGTTTCTCAAAGGAAAATCTAGCTGCTTTTACGAGATAAGGGGGACAGGGAGATGTGTTGGAGGCAGGTAAAAATGAAACAAAAACAAAAACCTGTCTTCTTCAGGGTTATAACTACATTTATAAAAAATGGGAAAAAATGAAAAGATCTAGAAGATGTAAGATATTGCAGAACTGTTCTTGCAAAAATATGAGCAAGGGTAAAAGTAACAAACTCTAGTCTTTAGGGAAAATAATAATACTAGTTAACATGTATTGGGTACCTCTAATCCTATTATTTTACATACATTAATATTACCCCATTTAATGTTTGTAATAAACTTATAAATACTTAAAATTATTATCCACATTTTACAAATGAGGAAACTGAGACTTATAATTCAGTAACTTGCCCAAGTCAATAAGTGGAAAAAATGGAATCCCTGACCTCAGAGCCTGTCTTCTGCCTCTCAGGAGCAGGGGGTCATTTGCTCCCTTATTTTGTGTTTCTGAACCTAAAGATTTCCATTGCTTAATTTCCTCGTGTAATTTACATCAACACATGAACAATTCTAAATTATTTATGAAACTCCAAGTTTTTGATACCCAACTGACTTTGACAGAAAAGACTTTGTCTGCACTTTTAGTACTTTTGTCTTTCTCTTGCCACTAGGTGTCAAGTTTAACTTCTGAATGTACCCAAGTCAGAATTAGCTAAGAGTCTCATTGTCGAATAATACAAGGATCTCTTTAAACAACAGGACCCTGCATTTCTGGGTAACTTGGGAAATATTTATTTCTCTCGTTTTGACCAGTGACTAGCAACCAGTTGGTCCCATAAGTTTGAGGGCAGTCCATACCTCTCTAGTACAGAAAAGGTCTTCCTTTCAGAAGAAGGAAGCCTGTTCCAAGAGATATAAAGAATCCAATAGATTAAAAGAATAGAGAAAGATATACAATGATAATACTAATCAAAAGAAAGCTGAAGTAGCTTATTTATTTTGGACAAAGTAGACTTCAAAACAAGGAAAATTATCAGGCGTAAACAGAGACACTACATAAGGGGTCATTTAGACCCCTTACCATTTCACCCACGGTGCTCAGTTTCAGAAAAATAGCCATTATACATTTTGAAGGAGGGGGGTTGTGGGTTGGGGCGTAGAGGGGTCATTTTCGAAGAAGACACACAATCCTAAACTTGTATGCACCCAACAATAGTGTCATCCCAATAAACTCAAAAAATATGTGAGACAAGAACTGATAGAAATAAAAGAAAAATAGACAAATCCAATATTATAGTTTGAGACTACAACCAATCGAAAATGTACCTAGAACACTGTATTTGTTGTCTTCAAACTTAAAACAGATTTTTACTTGATTGAAATGCTAGTTGGAAGACTCCCTGGCCACCTGGCCACTAGGTGGCAGAGCAGCACCATTCTCGAGAGTACCAGCAAAACAAATCACAAGACTCAGGGGGCTAAATGGCCACAGGTAGGAAGTCCACCTGCTCTAAAAGTTTAGGAAGTAAAATTTCACTATCTTCTTTTTAAGCATTCGTTTTTTTATTGTTAATGAAGAACATTTTAAGTTGAGAAGTTGAACAACACGGGAGAGTATAAAGAATAAAATGGAAACTCTCCTTATTCTACCTGTCAAGAGTAAACACAGGATCCGGGTCTTGCTTCTGAGGGTAAAAATGGCCGAGTGTGGACCGTGACCAGCATTCTCTGTAAACACCCCCTCCCCAGGGCTTCCTTCTCTCACTGAGTGTCGCCTAAACCTTATCCGAATCCCTGTTCCAATCCTAGCCCCAACCCACAACCCCCCTCCTTCAAAATGTATAATGGCTATTTTTCTGAAACTGAGCACCGTGGGTGAAATGGTAAGTTCACCATTCACAGTGCTCAGCACGAATACCAAATCTGTGACAAACGCAGCAGCAGGTACCAATCTAGGTAAACTTGATAAGCTCTGTCATTTTTAAATATAGGTAATGGCCTGAGTGGTGTGGCTCGGTGGATTGAGTGCCGGCCTGCAAACCGAAAAGGTCGCCAGTTTGATTCCCAGTCGGGGCACATGCCTGGGTTGTGGGCCAGGTCCCCAGTGGTGGGGGGTGTGAAAGTCAACCAATTGTTCCTCGCACATCAACATTCCTCTCCCTCTTTTCCTCCCTTCCCTCTCTGAAAACTAATTAAAATATAGGTAAAATACTAACACCTGAAAAGACATCACAGCAAAGTTAGAATCTGGTTAAAGAAACAAAACATGTCACCCCTGGTGGTCAGACATAGAAGGTTTACTTATTTTGGGTTACATTGTAAATTTATATTTTTTTCAATTAAAATGACCTTGTACAGGTTTAACAAATGTATTGATTGTGTAAGTACCATCACAAGTCAGGAGCCAGAAGAGCTGCATTACCTCCAAAGAGCTACTCTACTCCTTTATCATCACTCACGAAAGGCTAGTGATGTCGCATACCTTTTTGTGAGCTTACTGGTGAAATGTCTGTTCAGATCTGTAGCCTACTTTCAAGAATGAGTTTAGCTTCCTTACTGTTGAGTTTTAAGAGCTTTTCTAAATATATTTTATTGATCATGCTATTACAGTTGTCCCAATTTTTACCCCCTTTCCTCCAGCAATTTCTCCCTTAGTTTATGTCCATGGGTCGTGCATATAAGTTCTTTGGCTTCTCCATTTCCTATACTATTCTTGACATCCCTCTGCCTATTTTGTATCTACCAATTATGCTTCTGAATCACTGCACCTTTTCCACCATTCTCCCCGTCCCCCCTCCCAGCTAATAACCCTCCAAATGATCTCCATATCTATGATTCTGTTCCTGTTCTGATTGGTTTTTTTTTAGATTCAGTTGATAGTTGTGAATTTGTTGCCCTTTTAATGTTCATAGTTTTGATCTTTTTTTAAAATAAGTCCCTTTAACATTTCATGTAATAATAGCTTGGAGACAATGAATTCCTTTATCTTTATTTTGTCTGGGAGGCACTTTATCTGCCTTTCGATTCTAAATGATAGCTTTGCTGGATAGAGTAATCTAGGTTGTAGGTTCTTGCTTTTCATCACTTTGAATACTTCTTGCCAGTCCTTTCTAGCCTATAAAGTTTCTTTTGAGAAATCAGCTGACAGTCTTGTGGAAACTCCTTTGTAGGTAACTCTCTCTCCTTTTCTCTTGCTGCTTTTAAGATGACTTTCTCTTTATGTTTAACCTTTGGCATTTTCATTACGAAGTGTCTTGGTGTGGTCCCCTTTGGGTCCAGCTTATTCGGGACCCTGGGCTTCCTGGACTTGTATGTCTATTTCCTTCACCAAATTAGGGAAGTTTTCTTTCATTAATTTTTCAAATAAGTTTTCAATTTCTTGTTTTCTCTCTTCTTCTGGCACCCCTATGATTCGGATATGGATACATTTGGAGATGTCCCAGAGGCTGCTTATACTGTCCTCATTCCTTTTAATTTGTTTTTTTCTTCTTGCTGTTCTGGTTGAATGCTTATTTCTTCCTTATGCTCCAATTGTTGATTTGAATCCTGGCTTCATCCCCTCCACTGTTGTTCACTGTGGATTTTTCTATATTTCATGTAACTCTCATTTCTGCCTTGGTCTTTTTTATGCTGTTGCCATACTCAGTGAGTTCTTTGAGCATCCTGATCAGCAATGTTTTGAACTCTGCATCTGATAGGTTAGTTCACCTCAGTTTTGTTTAGTTATTTTTTGGGGGGGTTGTTCTGTTCTTTCATTTGGGCCATATTTCCTTGTCTCCTCATTTTGGCAGCCTCCCTGTGTTTGTTTCTATGCATTAGGTAGAGCTGCTTTGACTCCCTGTGGTAGTAGCATGGCCTGTTGTAGACGAGTGGATCTGTAAATTGAATGGGGTGGAGCCTTAGGTAATTGCCAGGGTGGGGAAACCCACTTCACCACTTTGTGGCTCTGTGTTGGGGGAGAGATGGGAGAGGGGACAGTGCTGCTCTCTGGCTTCTGGAGGTTTCCCTGGCACTCGATCTGTTTCCAGTCACTTCACTTGCTCCAGTATATGACTGTTGCCCTTCCAGCTGTTGCCCTGGTGAATGAATCCCAGAGGGTCTGCATACATTCTATGCCCGTGTGGACCCTTTAAGTGGAGTCTCCTGAAAATGGCAGTTTCTTCCACCACCCCAATGCTCACTGGTTTTTACAGTCAGAAGTTATGGGGATTTATTCTCCTGGAGCTGGAACCCTGGGCTGTGTGGTCTGGCCTGGGACTGGGATCCCTCGCTCCTAAGGTATCCCTCCCGATTTTTATCCACCACACGTGAATGTGGGACCACCCGTTCCATTACTGCCACCTCTCTGTGCTGCACCCCATCTCTGCACCTCTCTGCTCATCTCTACATCTCTGCC